CAAACTCAATCATTCCCTTGATATTAATACTATCTATGGATTGGCAACTTGCAACTTTATGTTTCTGCCCCAGAACTCTTCTTGAGCTTCAGACTTACACAGAGACTCAGAGGCTAAGAAAGTGTTTATTTCTGTTTATTTCTCTGTGTATTGCTCACTATGCATGGCTCAGTGTCTGGTTTACAGCAAGTACTAGGTAGACATGCTCATTGATTTTATATACCGTTCCCCTGCTTACCTGTGTAACTGAGTGATTCTTTTCTCATGCCCTGCTATAGTGCAAGCTGACCCATTCCTCATCCCTCCCAGGCTAGATGGGGTGTGGCAGTCTCTGACATTGGTGGTCGCCATGCCACCTAGTATTTATGTCCTTGTATAACCTCCTCCCTTGGACTCTAGTATGGACCTGTGATTTGCTTCAACCAGTATAATGTGGTGGAAGTTAGACTGTGCCAGTTCCAGCTGGCACAGAGGAGCCCAGCCTTTCTAGTGTCCCAGCTGAGCCTGCTCCCAGCTAGTTAGCTAGCTGAAAGCAGCCTTTTGTGTGTGACCATTGGCAAGAACAGGAGAAAAACCACTTCAGCTGAGTCAGTTCAGCTTGCAAGAATAAAGAGCAAATAAAATGTTAAGCCACTAAGATTTGGGGTGGTTTGTTACACAGCAAAAGAAACATAGATGTGTTCATTGACACCACAGATCAAGAGGCAAGTGAACAGTCTTGGAATCTCATCTCCTTGTTTTTAGCTTTAACTTTGAATTTTGGTGCTCTGCTCTGCACAGATGCCCAACAAGTCACAATTCCTTTCATCCCTGTAAATCTGATCAGGGCATAGGAGAGCCATCTAGTCATTCCGACAGCACATATAGTTGAACAGAAATGTTTAGAGTAGCCCTCCAAATGTAAGGGTAGAAACAAGTGGGACGAGAAGCAGAGGGGAGAAGGAATGGGAAGAGTCACATTTAGGTTGAAGTGACACAGAGAATGAATGCTGGAGAAGGCAGGGTTGGCTCCGGAAGGACGGGGGGGTGGGGGTCACATCAAATTTGGAAGGTAACATTAAGGGGTGGGCCTGTGGTAACTGGCTCCAGATATCAGAGAGGCCCATGGCTGTATTTTCTGTGAAAACTAGAACTTTCTACACGGAGCACTAATAGTAAAATTGCGATTTCCAGTATGGTGTGAATCTCAAGGATTAAGCGTGTGTGTGTGATTATGGTTGAGGGGAGGGAGAGAAAAGAGAGAGAGAGAGAGAGAGTGAATGCACAAGATAAAAAATGGATAGACTAAAAGAAAAATTTTTCTTGAAGCTAAAAAGTAGGTGACTTTGTAAAAAGTAATGTTTCTTTATCATTTCCTTTTTTAAACACTCTCATCTAAGCAGCTTAAGAATCCCTGTATTAAGGATTTTGGAACTAGGGATGAAGGGGGTGGTTTCCTCTCCTGGTCTGCCTAAAGGCCCAAGCTGCTGCTGACATCAAGCTTCTGTCCAGCCCAAGCCAATTATCAGACAGAGCTAGGGCTCCAGGTGCAAACTTAAAACATAGACAATTCTCATCCATGCTCCTGTAAGTAACAGAAATGAAAAATGTGAATGGAAGCCATCAGGGAAAACTTGTGACAGCAGGAGGTGGTGTTTGGGTACAATGCTCCCATCCACTGCATGGCAGAGAAAGAGCAGGAAAAATGAGGCAATCAGTCCTTGCCATCAGTCTTTGTCTCAGCTTTGAGAAGGACACTCCCAGCTGTCTGTTGCTGTGGTTCACAGACCTAAATGGAGATTCCTTTTGTCCTGGCAGGTTCTCCTTAGTGGCCAAGCTCCAGGACAGGAACTAAGCCACAGTACATTTATTTCAGGCCAAAAAAAACACACATCCCTATTAGTGGGTAGGGCCAGGAAGGTGGAGCTTTTTATTAGCAGGATGTTTGGACAGAGACGAGGATGTTGAAAGCAGGAGTCAACACTTCCCAAGGTTCTTTCTTAAAATATGTTGTGTTTGACTTTGGAACTCCTGACTCACCCCCAGGCTGGGCATTCTGTCTTGGAGCTACTGTATTCCCAGGATTGCTTGGGGAAACCAGCTCATTCCCCACCTACAGTATCCACAGAAACATCTGCTATAGCTTATTAGAAAGTCAAAACAACCAACCATCAATTCATCATCTTTTCTGTTTAAGGACACATTCCTGTTGGCTGACGCATGCCCCTCCCCAAGGGTCATCCCCTGGACTGCCTGTGTGTGTCTGTAAAACTGTGAACTGATTTTGATGATAATTTGAACAGCCTCTCACATCCTAGTTTATTTAACCTTCTCACATGAATAGCAATACTTCTCTTTGGGGAATCACAGAATGATTACTGAATCATTAGATAAGCAGTGAGCCCTGGAAACAGGAAGCAAACAGTGGGCTTTCAAAGCCAACTTCCTTTCCTTCTCTTTTCATCCACAGGTGACACAGCATTATAGAAAGCAGCCTGTACTTGGAGTCAGTAGTCCCAGGTTCAGCTTGCAGTCCTGACAGGTACTTTGTGACCTGAGATAGCTAACTTGGTCTCTCTGAGTCTCAGTTTTCTCTTGCATAATGGGAATAATAATACCTATCTGGCTACCTACAGAGGATTTTTTAAGAGGTTGGAATAGAATACTGAGGTGGGAAGGCAGCTTAAAGAACATCTAATGCTTGAATTCCTTTCTATAATATCACCACATATAAGCCACGGAACTTATCCTTGAACTCTTTCTGTGACAGGGAACTCATTCCCACAGACACTCCAGTGCAATGTGAGATAGCTCTGATTTATTTTGAGCTGAAAACTGCTTCCTTTAGCATTCCACCAATTGGTTCTTCTTCATGTAAATATGTAGAAACAAGTCCAATTCTCTTCTGAAAGAACAGCTTTTAGAATCTGGAGGTGCTACCATGTCCCTAACATAGACAGAGCAGTCTCTGAGTATTCTCTCTACCAGGCTCAGCTTTTGGTTCTCTTCACTGTCATGGTTATTGCTCTCCAAAGGCACTTTAGGTAATTTATAAACCTCAATGTAGCTTCTCTTGCACTGGTTATGGTATTCGGGATTTCTGAAAGGGAGAGAATAAAGAACAACATCCACCTCCCTTGTCCTAGATGCTGTGCCTCTGTTAATGCAGTTGACACTTGGATTTGCCTTATTTGGTGGCCACATCTCAATAGCAGCCCTTCCTCCTTCAGCAGCAAACATCTAGCTTTCTGATCACCACCTCCTTTCTTTCCAGCTTATTCCATCTACTACCTGACTCAACAGTTTCTAAACCTCACCAGAACTTACTTTCCATTGATCACCCTTTCACTGTCCCTTGTCCCTCCCCTCTACCACGTCCTCCTATTCCCTCCCCTCTTAACCAGCCTAGAGCTCATGATAAAATTATAACTGTTCCCTTGAGTAGACGCTCAACTCTTTGGCTCTTTCCCTTTTTCTCTTGCCTGGCAAAATCCTCAACCCTGATTACACTCTGCTGTCTTCATCTTCCTGCCCTTGGACCCAGACAATTGAACTTTGCTAGAGGAAATTAACTAGCTTAAGTTAAATTCATAAACAGTAACTCCAAGGGGGCCCAGAGAGGTACCCAGTGATCATGTTCTAGCTTCCCAGTCTGGACATTCTGCCACTCTCCTAGATGATTAGGTTCCACTTCCTCTATCCTTAAACCCCCATCCTCACTCTATGCTCATGACCTTGTCTTCAAGCGAATGGGACTCCCCCTCACTCCCACCAACACATCTACCTGCCTGCTCCATCAGGGCCCCGTACTCTGCCTTCCCTTTCTCCCTGTGGTTGGTTTTCTGTGCTCCAAGACTGAGCTCTTCAGGTGTGCAACGGATCCTCTGTCCTGCTTGCTTACTCGAGGACTTTTGCGCCCTATCCTGCAGTCCATCATTCATTTCCTCTTTTGACAGGATCATTTCCACCTTATAAACCACAATATTATTTTACTCTCATCTTAAAAAACAAAACACAACAACAAAAACTTTTTTCTTATATCCAGATAAGGAAACAAGATAAGGAGACTCAGAAAAGTTTACTAACCTGGTCAAAGTCACACATCTAAAAAGTGGAGGGGACAAAGATCAAATCACAGTTTTCCCACCCCTAAAGCCCACCCAGATGAGACTTTGTGGGCTCCAGCCCGCTGTGCTGGTTCAAGAGGCTGAGATTGGGCAAGGGAGCACTTTGCCAAGGATGGGCAGATCAGCTCTGCCAAATCTGTGCAATTTTGGGGCAGTAAGAAGGCTGGTGCTTTGCAAGTGAGAAGGGCACCTGCTTTGTCTTCAGAGGCCCACTGAGCTGCCGAAACTCTGGCTTGACCAGCTTTTCTCTGAGACTAAACATGGGTGTGTGAGGGCTATCATCAGGCCTCCATCCCAGCAGCACATCAGCCACAGCATGGTAAGTGGGTGGCCACGATGGCAGACAGATGGGGCAGGCGAGCGGGGGAGAAGCTGCCAATATTGTGCACCCCAGTGAAGAGATGACACCTCATAAATCTTGCAGGCCCAGATCCCATGTGGTCTGCCACAGTGCCTCATTAACACTTCCTTGTTCTCACAAAGAGGTGGAAAATAACCAAATGTGACATGCTGCCTTCCAAAGTCATTTCATCAGAAGGGCACACATCTTTCCTCCACCACTTGCAACATCCCTACTTGTGATGAGAGTCCTAAACAGCTCAGGCCAAGAGGTTTTTCTCCCGGGACAACAGATACTTATCTACCTCCAGATCACAGCCTTCAGCCATCAGCCCTCTCCTTCCCTCCCCTCTCTTCCCAGAGATTCTCCTAGAGAATGAGCCCATTTGGCCTCCAGTCTTATCAACCCAAGGGGTCAAGTTGGAATTTTCAGAATACCTGGAAAAGCATGTATCTACTGCCTTTTCTTTATTTATCTGCCAAAACCAGTGTTGATTTCAGTCACAGCATCTCTTAAAAGTCCTCTTTCAAAAGGGACAGACTGGGTCCACTTACTTGTCTGTCACAGCCTGCATGAATTCGTCCAGCAAGTCATCATACGCCTTCCCGCGCACACGCTGGTGTTTCAGGCCGATGTACAGAGGGTCTCTGAGCAGCTCCTGGAACAGATAGCACCCATTGACTGAGCCTACTCCCGGTGTTCCACTTTTTTTTTTTTCCCCAACAAGTATCCAGGATTACTGGGATGAACCAGGAGGTAGGAGGAGAGGAGGAAGTAGGAAGCTGACTGGACCCCCCTGCCCAGGTGTCATCTCTGAAAGGGTTTGGAGGCTAAGCCAGTGACTAAGGGTGGACTCTCAGGTGGTCCCCATTTTAGAAACCAAGGATGCTTTGAACCAGGCAAGCCTCTCTCAAACACAGTCTTTCAACCTCCATCTGCAGGCTCTAGGGTTATTTCAGGATTTCTCAACAGTGGCACTACTCGCATTTTGGCTGGGATAATTCTTTAACATGAGGGCTGACATGCACACTGTAGGATATTTGTCAGCATCTTTGGCCTCTAGCCACTAGATTCTAGCAACACTCACAGCTGTAACTGTCAAAAATGTCTTCAAGGCCTGATGTGATGGCTCATGCCTATAATCTCAGCACTTTGGGAGGCCAAGGTAGAAGGATCTCTTGAGCCCAGGAGTCTGAGACTGTCCTGGCCAACACAGTGAGACCCCATCTCTACAAAAAAAGTTTAAAAATTAGCTGGGCATGGTGGTGTGTGTCTTTGGTCCCAGCTACTCAGGAGACTGAGGCAGGAGGATCACTTGATTCTGGGAGGCCAAGGCTGCAGTGAGCCATGATCGCGCCACTCTAGCCTGGGCAACAGAATGAGACCCTGTCTCAAAAAAGAAAAAGAAAAAGAAATGTCTTGAGACATTGACGAAGGTCTTCTTAGGGACAAAACTGTCACTGGTTGAGATCCATTGTAGCCGACTTTAGGCAGCATCTGCATTGAAGCATTGGGTCTCATCCAGAGTCCCTGGTCTGGAGTTATATTAGAAAACCAACCCACTTTTCTATCCTTTTCATTCCTCTCTTTTCCTCTCCCTTCCTTCCCTCCCTCCCTCCCTCCTTGAAATCTTACTGAATACCTACCATGTGCCTCACATTGTGCTAGGCCCTGAGGATACAAGCATAGAATGAAACAACCAGGAATTTCATTTCAAGAAAGATGCTCACCTTAACACTTAGCCTGTGTTTAGGGCCCCTCCACCCAACCTCCTGCAGCTCTTTCCTTCACAGCAATCAAATGCTATTGGGTTATCTGTGTCTACGTCGGTGTGAATGACCACTCCCGCTGGCTGACTTACTTTCCACATCTTCCATTCCTCCCACCCAACCACAGATTCAGTGGACTCATTCATGCATAACACATTTATTTGTCATTACTGTTGCTGACACTGGGCTCAGTGGGGGACTTGTAGAAAAGTAAGAAATGGTTGTTGCCTTCTAGTGCTGACAGGTGACTGCTGAGTAAACTAACACATTCTACTGCAGGGCAGAGTGGCGCTGCTCTGAAACAAAGTGTGGCACATGCAGGCACAGTGATGAGTGAAGAAATTCCCCTTGGTGTGCAGATTGGGATTGTGTCATGCAGAAAATGGTCGGCCAGGAAGAGACGGGCAGATTTCAGCAGGTGGGCCTCTAGGCTGAGAAGTCAGCATGAAGAAAGGTTGAGGGCTGGAGGCAGGAGGATGAAGTACCTGGTATATTTGAGAGATGGGAGGTAATTCCATGTGTTACAATTTCCAGGAATTATCTATGTTTTTGTCTGACTCACTAAAAATATAAGTTCCTAGAGGACAAGGTTTTGTGTTATCTTCACCTCCATCTGAACTGCTGGTGCAGGACACAAAGATTAGGACCAGTGGGCCTACACCCCGACCCTTGGGGGCTTACAGTCAAGTGTCACCTCCACCACTCTCAGCTCTATGACTTTGGGCAGGTTATGGGGCTTCTCGAAGCCTTCTTCTCATCTGTCAAGTGGAGATGAAGTATGGGCTGCATGGGGTGATTGTGATGATCAAGTGAAAAAATATATGTGAAAGAGCTTGGTGAATTATAACATATGCTATAAAACAGTGGTAGCAGTTTTAGCTTTCACGGTGCCTCCAATGTGTCATGTATTGTCCTAAGTACTTTACTTAACCCAGTGAGGTCACGTCAGTCACAAAGGTGTGTGGCTCAGAACTGTCTTAAGGGAACCTGCTGAGGGAGGGCAACTGGTGGACAGCCTTTAGCTGCCACACTTTCCCTGGATTGCTTAATGACTGAGCATGGAGGGAGTGTAGAGTTAACCATTTCTGCCCAACTGAGACTCTGCAGGGGCAGGAACTTCCCACTGGTCTGACTGAGCTGGAGAAACTCTCCCCAGGCTCCCCTGCAGCCCAGGGTCTCTTACTCACTCCCTCCTGCTCTCTCTTCACAGGTGGTTGACCTGTACTACAGTCTGAAGGCTCTACTCACCCCCAACTCCTCCTACTCCCTCCCCCTTTATTCTTCACAGGTGTCGCCCCAATACCTCTCTCTCATATCTATTTCTCAAAGGACCCAAGAGGTAGGTCTCATCATTTCCCCCATTTTATAAATGAGGCAACAAGACACAGAGAGGTTAAGCAACCCGCTTAAGAGTTGGGGCTCATAAGTGCAGGAGTCAGGATTCAAAGACAGGGCCAGAGTCTATGATTGGAAGCACTCAGCCAGGCTGCATAGGTGGTTCTTCTGCATACCAACAAGAATCAATTTTTCTTTTTAAGGACACTCTTTTGGGTCCATACTGCTTTAATATCACTGTAGTAGGTGTTGGGGAGGGTGTAGTTTAAGGGACAGAAAAGAAGAGGAAGAAGAGGAAGCAACTGTGTTCTTAACCCTTTACCCCAAATCCCGGGTACACGTAAGATCTAAGGTACGGTTAGCACTTTGTCAAAGGTACCATAGTTTTACATTTAGAAAGACGGTGGGCCCTGGCCTCTTCTTTCACTCTCCTCATCCCCTGGATTGAACACCCTTGAAACTGTTTAGGATTCTTCCCTGGTAGAGGGGTGTGTGTGTGTGTGTGTGTGTGTACGTGTGTGTCAGAGGGTGGGGGACCTAAAGGGTGAAAGTGGTGTATACATGGTGCCTACCCTTCCACATGCCACCTTCAAAGTGACCATCAAAAGCCACTTAGAAGCAGCAAATATCCAGAAAGAAGAAATGATACATGATAGTAGAGTAACTTGAAATAGCTAGGCAATAATTAAAATTGGTGGTTTTTAGACTATGCAGTCACCTGGACAAATTTGTAAGAGATTATTTACAGTGGAAAAAGCAGGATATAAATACACAGATATCATAATTACAACTATCTGAAACACACACACAGAGCTTGGAAGGATGTACACAAAAATGATTGAAAATAGTGTTACTCTTGGTGTTGACAGAAAATATTCACTTTGCTAGTTCGTATAGAGATTAAAAGGGTCCATGGTGAGTTATAATTTAGGATGTTGCCAAATCATAGGTTTGAATCTTGGTGCATCAGGCAGCATAGAGTGAATTTCTCAATCCTGCATATGCAATTTCTGGGGTAAGTTAAGTTCCCCAGTGGTACTAAAGAATTTTTAGATTTTCAAAAAATTTCTCAGTATACTACACTAAAGATCAAAGGTCAACCATAACGAGATGCTGTTGAGATACAAGGGTGACTATAAAAAGCTTTTAAAAAGTGTTTATATTTTCCTTTCATAATAAAATGTTCTATGTCTCAGATACTTTAACCACAAAAAATGAAAAAAATAGTTTCCATATGGACATGATGTTAAAATATAGCTTCTTATGTTTTTATAGAGTTTTAAAGTAATTAACTCATTTGTTCATTCTAATAGTCTGACCTCTTCTCATCCCATTTTACAGGAAGTTGGAGTTCAAGGGTTTAAATAAACTGCCCAAGTTCACAGAACCAGAAAGTAGCTACGCTGAGATTGAGCTTTGTCTGGGTCTCATGACAGCGTCCTCTTCAACCCATCACTTGATATTGTGGGGACCGGGGAACCAGGGAACCAAACGGCAGCTCCTCACCCTCTGCCTGGTCCTCCTGGAAGAGGTCACTAGCGGCTGCAGGCTCTTGTCCTGCAGACCAGGCTGGGGAAAAGGGAAAGCTGGAATGGGTTCAGGGGAAAGGCTGTGTCCACATCTCTAGTCAGCTGGTTTTCCTTTAGCAGGAGTGGCAATGGCTTCTCTAAAACAGTACTGGGCAGAGCTCCCACGGCTGACTTGGCACAACATAGAACAAGAAGTCCACATTCTGCTGTGTGTCCACCAACTGACTGAGATATAAGAATGCCTGCCAGCAAGGGGTAGGAGTAGCAACCTGCCTGGACCCCCTCCTTGCAGCCCTTCTCTATCTTGACTTCTTCACATGTGTTTAGAAGAGAAGATTTTACCAGATAGTATTGCCAGATAAAATACAGGATGCCTAGTTAAATTTGAATTTCAGACAGGCAATAATTAAAAAGAAATGTTTAGAATTAGCGTCACCCATGTACTACATGGAATACACTTAGGCTAAAAATGTTGAATTGCTTATCTGAAATTTAAATGTCACAGTGTATTATATTTTTATTTGCTAAATCTGGTAACCCTATCGATACAGGCAGAGGAATCTTCAAATTTGGAGGCAACATGCCACAGGGGAAAGGACACTACTGGACCTGGTGGCTCTGGTCAGGATGCTTCCCTCTGAGCATCCTCAGTAGGGCCCAAAGGGGCTCTAGGCTTCCAAGTAAGATAGACCTGAGTTTGAATTGAGGCTTTGTCATTTAACTAACTCTGTGACTTTGGGCAAGGTATTTAACTTTTCTCTGCTCTTTGTTAAATAGGGATAATAATGATTTCTATCAACAATGCAAGCTGTTTGAGCTCCTCATTCATCTGCATCTCCCCAGAGAATTGTACAGTGATGAAACACATAAGCCCTTGAGAAGCATTTAGTGATATGACTGTCAGAGTCCTGGGACTGGGCTAAGGAGATGCTGAATTAAAAACTAAGAAGGTCTTAGAAATCACTTGGTTCAGCTTCCTCCAAATGAGTTTTTGAAGCTTGGAAAGAATAAATGAAATGCCTGAA